GCCGAAACTGAGGCCTATTTTGAAGCAAAGGACAAATCGTACTACAAAAATGGTATCGAAAAGTTGGAGGATCGCTATAATCAGTGTATCACCCTTGAAGGGAATTATGTTGAATAAAAAAAACGAATTTTGCAAAAAAAATGTGTTTTACTATTTTAGGCCGGGGACTTTTCAATTGACCTGTTACAAAAGAGTGATACTTAGTTTGTATAAAGAGCAACAGGCAGTTGTAGAGATGGGGCTGCAACGTAGAGAAGTAAACATTAGGAACGGAGTCAGACAAGGATTCACACTTTCACCGCTACTTTTTAATCTATAGATTATATAAAGATATAGCATTATTAGCATCTAACAAGGAGGAGTTAGAGGTAGCTTTAAATAAAATGGAAGCGGTATTGACAAAACAGTACTGTATGAAAATAATTAAAAGTAAAACAAAAATAGTGATATGCAAAGGAAGAAAAAGTAGGGAAACAGCGAATATAAAGATAGGTGTTTGTTGTGAGAAAATAAATTTTAATTGAAAGAGTTCTTTCTGATATTCTCACTACACGCCAAATTAATTGCGAGCAACTATTTTAAATAAATGATAACGATTGTTGATTTAAATATTTAATGGTCAACACTTAACTTAACTTACACGTAGAATTAAAATAAACTAGATGAATAAAATTAGATGTAAAAGTATAAAAGTAGGCTCTAAGATTGAGTATGAATGTGAATTGAGTGTTGCTTTGTTGATACTGTTATCGATACTGTTTTGATACTGTTTTCGATACTGATGAAAATGTGTATTACTAATTACATAAATAGCTTCGCCAGTGGGCGTTAACAATAACATTGAGGGTGCAAGGCGACCCTGTCAGTCAGGTCAATACCCCATTTCAGGTACAGACAAAATAAGTGAATTTAAATTTGGAAATTACAGTAATATAGCGAACGTGACTTTACAAAGGAAGAAATGTTACAATAAGATAGTAGAATACATTATAAAATTTATGGTTCAAAAATACTGAGATTACTGTTTGCATTTGATAAATAATATATACCTGAAAATTGTCATCATCATCATAAGGTCATCAGTCCTAAGACTGGTTGAACACGTAAATACTTAAAATTTGCGACAATAATAAAATTAGTATGCAAAATAAAATAAACCTATGGTATTGTAAAGATGCAACACTTATATTAATTTAATCTACTTTTGGACAGTCGACTACTCGAAATGCAATAATAATTACATTGCATTTTTGAGTATTTAAAATATTACATTAACGAAACCATTTGTTTGAAGTAAATATTTCTAAATCAGACATATTGATGTTTATTTTTAATGCATAGTTGGTAAGGATAATGCATTATCCTTTACATATTGAAGAAATATTTTCACATAGTACGTATATAATTATTGTGCTGGTGTTGAAAATGCAAGTAGAGCACATCATACAGACCGATTTATGTATCCTCTGAAGTTATTATTCATAGTATGAGAACTGGAACACAGAAATTAACTCGCTAATTATGTACGGTGGAGTCACATAATTCTTCTTAATG